GATACCCGCTGTAGGCAGAGCATAGATAGTCAATTATATATCTTTGAGCCTAAAAACAACCAAACAAAAATCCTAAACAGGTTTTAATTATCTACGTGAAAATTTTACCTTCTTAATTAGATGTTAATTACCTACGCGAAAATCCCACCTCCTCAATTAGGATATATTTGTGACAATTTAAAACCCGTACCTTCCTAAGCCGACAGGGCGTGGCCAACTCATTAGCATACCCGGACTATGAATATGATATATGTATGAAATCCATTGCAGCAAAAACGCGCTTTGCACTTGGAGGGGGGGTGCGATATAAGAATGACGTCATATCCAACTATGTGATTAAAGTTCTCCAAGAACTGTTGGTGTAGGCCGCTGACTATCTGCCTTCCCTCCAGTCTATTAGAAATTAGGTACGACTTTCTGCAGATAGTTGCAAATAATGCAGTTAAGTGGCTTTGCGTGAAGTTTTGAAAGAAACATAAAAAAAGGCTAATTTTGGCTAATGCCAGTGGTTTGTGTGCAAATTAATATTACAATAATATTTTTTTGAAATCACAATATATCGCTGTGAAAAGAAATTTTTATATTTTAACCTTTTTTTTCATATTTTAAAACAAAAATTAATACAGTAGAAATATATATTTCTGAAACCAGAATTTACCTGTGTTTTTACTTTGAATATTTTTTATCGTATTTTAATTAAAATCACATTTCATTAAATTATTCTAAACCAGGTAGATAAATTTAGCTTTCAAACCGTTTTATTGTCGTTTTTAGGAACCTTTATATAGCGCTTGAAGTTTCGAAAAGAAGGTTATTAGAGAAAAAATATTTTCTAATTATCCAATGTTATCATTGTAGTTTTAGTACCACTCTGATGGGTAAGGTTTAATTAGGCAAAATCTGGTTTTCTTACATACGTTCCAGATTTTGATATCATTGTATTTTGAAGGAATACAATACAACTAAAACCAGAATAAATCGAAGAATAAAAAAAACGTAGCTGGAAGTATCAGATGTAAGATGCAGGAACATACATCTGCATGCAGTTGTGCATCAGACAAGAAGATGAAAAAATTTATTTTATCTTTCAATAGCTCTTTATGATTGAAGAGAGAGAGAGAAATGGCGTGGAGAGCTAATTTGGAGATAGAGATCTGGAAACCTGAGCTTATAGATCACATATCGTGCAAAGATCTGGAAACCTGAACTTATACATCACATATCGTGCCTGGTTTTCCAAAGAACAATTAAGATATTGCGTGTTTATAGTTCAATGCGGTATTATAGAATAAACTCTCATATCCAAAAAAATGCTAACCACCAGCATCAGTACGTTTACAAATGTAGACTTAATTAGTTTTAATGCATGCTCATCAGTAAACAAATAATTAGAGAGAAGCTCGTAAGATGTGCGTGCTTTGAATCCCGCACTCTGAATCTAGTAAATCTAGGTTCGTACTCATGTTTGAAAATATATTTTACGTCAGTTTGAGTGTATACGTCAAATTTATCTTAGCAGTGGTTGAATACTCACGTACACTATTTACCAGTTAAAACTGTTAATTATATAAATACGTTACTTAAAATAAATTTTGTTAGATTTGTTCTAAAGCGTTTTTTTTAAATCAGTTGTAATTATAACGAACATTTAGGAACAGAGTTATTAAAGCACTACATTAAAGCCTGTATCATTTAACCCCTAATGTACTTTATACTCTGACAATAATGAGTTATAAGATTAATTATCTATTGTCTATGGCAGTTATTTTGGTTTAAAGTTAATAGTTTAGAGAAAAAAATATTAATCACCAAGGGTGTTTGAAGATTAGCAATCCTCCTTCACCCTGCACAAGGTTAAAGATTAAAGGTTTGTAGAATGGTCATCGTTCTAAATGGACGAAAAAAATTATAATAAAAGAGGAAAGAGATAAAAAAAATAAGGGCACAGATTGGCTCTATGGCAGAGCTATGGATTGCGTAGCTGGCAAGCCAGATTTGAATCCTTACGATCCCTCTGACAATAGTTCAAAATTTTGGACGGCAGCAGATAGCCTTGGTTGTTTAGCCTTAAATACAAATACAAGATACTGTATATATGTATAACTCAATACAATATATAGCATATATTACTCAGTACGAGCTAAGCTTGAGTGATTTATATCTTAAAAATCAATTTCCAACCTTTGAATTAATTCAAATTTCGTATCACCATTCTGTATTGTAAAGAACACCTTTGTAAAATTTCGGCTTTATTGGGATATTTGAAATAAACTGGTTTCATATGTTGTTTAAAGATTTAACTGAAGAAACAGACCCGACATGTATGAGAGAAAGTGGTTCACGAATAGTTCAGAGGTAAGTTTTAACTTGTTCGTATAAAGGTTGTTAATCAATTAGAAACGTTCTTAAGTTTCATTATCTAATGTAGTTAGATATCTTTTGTTCGAATACACGTTAAAGTTTGGGAAATTTTAGAAAAATCTGAAGAAAGTACAAAAGTAAAGTTGTTCTTGATGAATTTAAAATTGTGTCAGCGTAAGGATATGCAAATTCACTAAATGTAGTCTCCCGGTGGAACAGCGGTAAATCTGCGAAGTTACAACGCTAAAATCTGGGTTCCGTTCCCCGTGGTTGGCACAGCAGATAGCCCACTGTGGCTTTGCTCTAATACAGACAAATCACGCATTCTAAGTTGTATACAAATAATTAATGGCAAAGACCATTACTGTTCGATTTCAAATCACAGTAAAGATCTCGAAATTTGCTTTAAGATAAAACTAATTATATATTTATTCTAATTATACTGATGCTGCTGCTATAGTATTTCGTTCTGAGTGCTGCAATGGTACTTCTGTTCTGGATGTTGCTATGGTACTTTCCGTTCTGGATGTTGCTATGGTAATTTCCGTTCTGGATGTTGCTATGGAACTTTCTATTCTAATACAGCCAAGTTAGATTTCATACTCGTTCACTGAAATCAGCTAAAACGATTTTCATTGGTTTCCTCTTATGGTATATAATAAATAGTTGTAATTTACAAAAGAAGAAATAGCCATAAATATATCTGAGTTTTATTATTCACTATCTAAACAACCGTACAATTTGGGAATAAGTCTTTCTTTTTAAATTTTATTAACATTTATCTGCAAGGAAAACTAAAAATATGGTTTAGGATAATGATGTTGGCATGTACATAATAATAAAAGGTACGCAGGGCAAAATAGTTTGGTAAATTACATTAAAAAAGCACACGAAAAAACCGTAGAGCTTCCAACAGGAGGTCTTGTTTTCTTCAGAGGTCTGCCTTCCAAAAGCTCTATGATTTTATCAGTTTCTTTTATTAAACTTTTTTTTTGACCCTACTTATTTTTTTTATCACGATCACTTTTAGCATGGTTGTATTCTTACATAAACTCTCATTCAGGTATTTATTGAAGGCCACTTATATAACTAAAATATTTCATTAACTAAAAAAATTCTCATTAACAGAAAATAGTTTGATCTATCTGTTGATTATCGAAATACCTTCTTCTATGTGTATTTTATATTTCTGAATTAAAATATGAACTTTTCGAACACAATACAATTTTTATTCAGAGCAAATGGTAATCAGAATTCAAAGTTTTTATTTATGCTGGTGGAATAAAAAAATTACAACTGTTCCTAGTTGCTTAATCGTAAATTCTATTCAGCGAGTTCCTATGAACTGCAGTTTTGATGAACAAAACAAGTTGTGAAGATACTCAGTTTGTATCTTCAGATAAGAAGAAACTCTTTCTAGCTAGTAGACTTCTAAACAATTTTTGTGAACATGTTATTGTTGTAAATATTACCTTTTTTCAGTAATAAGAAGATTTTTAAGTAACACCACAATATTAACTAGTGCAGTCTCATGTTAGTCAAGTATAGCTATGAAAGTTATCTTGAATAAATTTGACTAAATGGTTATCTATGTTAAGAAACAAATGTCATTTTTTCGTTTGCTTGTACAAATTTTTTAATTCGAAATTATTATTTTTTTGTTGTTGTTGGATATTTTTCAGATGTGCAATATTGTAAATTATTTTTATTTTAAAACCCGATTGTCTAATATGTGTCTTGTCATTTAAGATAGGTTATGAAAGTTTTATAACATATGATTTATTTTTCTTGGTAAGAATCCGCCAGAAATAGCTCGAAGCTTTTGAATCATGGTAGTCGAACTCAGTAACTCCACTGCTTCAAGGTCAACGGATCTACCTGATCCGAACATGTGCGTAATTGTAGTATATACGTAATAAATTTGCGGTTTCCGACAGTACGTGGCCGATGTACATTTTTATGACTGGCTTGTAAACTCCCCATTTCTGTTCCTTTCAGACGGACAACAAAAGGAACTGCAACATCAAAGGCAGTGTAGAGACCGCGGAAATATGTAGACAATTTTTCACATTAGTCTTAATTCGAAACGAACGTCAAAAACTTGTGTTCAAGCTCTGTTTGAGTGTATGAATTCTAGTATAACTGTATGGCTCACAGTAGCGACAACCACATAACTTAACCATTAAATAATAGATGTTCTTACAGTCACCTTCCTATCGAGTTATATAATTAGGTAAGTACTAATCTTACTGCTACGATCCTGCTATACTTACACTTCATTTCTAATGTCCATCATTTTTACTTAGGTTTTACTTATTCCTACCAGAGATTGACCCACACCACTGTAAACATAACACATTGCTGTTTATTACTGGTAATCAATAACATGGAGATTTAGAAAAAGGTTTTGTTTTCTATTGGCAATATAGTACTTTCTTCTTTCGCCTCTATCGGTTTATTCGTTCTCTTCTACATCTGCAGTTCTTCTTTATTTTTGTTGAACTTATGTATTTTATACTCCTGTCTGAAACCAACGCCAAACCGGTCCCTTTCTTTCTGATCTTGCACCTGTTTCCAATATATCGGATTAAAATGTTTCATAACCATAGAGGATCTTGTAGTTTCCATATCTGCTGAACTATTATACCCAATTATTTTCTAATGACTTAGAGTACTGTAATCCATTTATCCCCTAGTGACTGAGCAAAGGCTGGTCACTTTCTCACCTCTCTCAAATTCAACTGATGTTCTTTACACCTAACTTCATGATAAATTACCTTAGGGTTTTATTAAATAAAAACCGTAAAATAAATGATACTTTGTTTTTTAAATGTGCAATTGTAGTTTTCTAAATGACAAACATTTTACTTCATATTTAATCGAGTTCTTCCACAAAAGAACTGTTTTACGTTTTCCAAAATAATTACAGTTTCTCACGAGTATTCCATGATTATTAGTATATATTAAATCAAATTTAAAACCAGTATAAGGTGAGTCAGTAATTATATACATTTTTCAGTTCGTAAGTCATCATTTTGGCTGACGTTTGCTTGTGTATACTCTTACTTCGAATACTATTTCACTTTTTATTGTAATTATTAAAATTTTATTTTTAATTTACTATTTTTATTATTCGAAACTATCTTTATCGACCATGGTTCAGTATAAAAGTAAAAAATAAAAATATTTTAGACTATTTTAAATTAAGTTTCGACTAACCAGCAAAATGGGTTTAAATGCGACACTGAAGCTTGGAATGAAGTATGGTGGTCTAGAGTAGATCATAATTCCCAATACTTTAATGATTTAATTTATGTTCTGTCTTTCTTAACCATAGAATTATCGATAGGGTTTGATTCCATCTGCTTTGTAAATACATTGTTGTAAACTATTTATTCACCAAATTACTTGTAGGTCCATGAATTTGTGGGTAATTAATAAAAAAAAATTGCCACCAATATTACAGGTAATTCTACTAATTATTACTGAGATAACCTGCGTATTTTATGTAGAAAATGAGTGATTTCACCAATTTCGTTTGCAACTTCTTTACAATGAGGGTTGCAACAAAATTACTCAATATGATGCATTACACGATGAACCCACCGGTGTTGACAGGACCCACCGGTGGAGGACAGAATCAAAACAATTCTATAATTTGAGAGTTAATTATTTGTTTTCACAGTTTATCAATACACAGAGAACGCTGCCCTACTACGTGACAAATCACTAGGAACAAACAGAAACTCGTGAAATTTAAAACAGTGCTTTATCAGCCATGACTGGTTGAGTTTCCTACAAAATACGGTCATGTAGTAGCTGCCACAGTGGACTTTAGTTTCATGAACTTGATGTTGGCTAGAGGACTGGATTTATTTCTACCCAAACTTATACGTTGGTACATTTGTGCTGTATGCTATACATATGAAGTATATTACCTATACCTATGCTGTATGCCTGTATGTATAATGTACCATACCTACATCTATGCTGTATGTATGATATATCATACATATATTTATGTTGTATGCTGTATGTATGATATACCTTACCTACATCTATGCTGTATGTACGATATACCTTACCTACATTTATGCTGTATGTCTGATATACCGTACCTACGTTTATGATGTATGTCTGTAAATCTGATATACCTTACCTACGTCTATGATGCATGCCTGTATGTATGAGGTACTTTTACCTACATAAGAATAAAAAAAACTAAATAAGAAAATGAATGAACATGAAGACCACCAATAATTAAAATAATACCATACGCTTCTATCTTAGATCTTTGGTTTGGGATTTAAGTTTATGAAACTCGTTACATCGCGCTGTTAAATAGCCCATGAAGTTGTAATTTGAAAAACGTTTATTAAAAGTAACAACGAATGTATTTCTATTGTTAGCAAGCTGTTATCAGAGTCCCCATACGAGACGCAAACAGAACGAAATGAAATACTGTAATTTCAAAATCGTTCAAAATCCTCGACGCACTTTGTTACCCTAAGCCTTAAGTTTGAAATATATAATTGTGTTTTCTACCTATCATCAGATGGCGCATAGAACAGCGACTCTGCACATAAATGTTGAACCTTATTGAAGCGTCGAATACTAACACGTTTTACATAGAAAAGGAAGTGTTACAGTAAAGAGTTATATTTCCAAGAATGCTGCGGGAGGGGGGGGGGGGGTGCTGGAAGCTATAATCATATTTTAATCAACTAATACCTTTACCTCTCTTATGTTTAGCCAAAGTATGCAAAATGTTGCTGACCGACAGACAATTTCACGGTAAAGAATTATGTGAATTAAACTTTATTAACTTTTCACCAAATGAATCAAAGAAAACATTTCTAAATTAGCTTCATGCCTTAAATATCAACTACTTGTCACATCTGGTTGGAAGCTTGGATATAGACGTAAATACTTACGCCTACTTATAAGCCATTTAGCTATTTTCTCAGTCTTCCTTCACAAGGTATTACAAAAATAACAGTTATTGACATCCATTGTTGGCTGAATTAAATCTTTTCAAAATGTTACACAGTTGCTGATTAAATTTATTTGATTACACACACATATATATATATATATATCGAAGTTCCGTGAGTAACTGCTAGAGATAAACAACGAAATATGTTTTTCAATTAGAACATTACTTAATCTAATGGAAATAATACTTTACAGAAGTCGAATAATATTAACAATATAATACCATTTTCTACGTGTTCTAGAACTAGAAACAACAAACAAGGAAAAATAAATATAAAACGCACCATTCGTCAAATTAGATCTTTTTTTTTCTTTTTATTTTCTGGTTCCAAGGTAATTATTAAACGTTAATACTTAAATGTATGTAGCCCAGTGGAATTCGTTTTTACATTAGCTATCGAAGTTCTTAGTTTTTAATCAAAATTTATCACGTGATATGTTTGGTTTACTGATTAGGAGGACTGTAAGCTTATTACTAATGTGATTATCTTACAGAACGCCTATGACGATATTACTTTTTCTTCTTAGAAATAACCATTATGTATTTATATATATTAATCAAAAACTTCCAGGCTTATTGTAACCACATTAACTGTATTAAGTAATAATGTCCTGATTTCTCGATAGACATCTGAAACAAAATGCCCAGGTTTTTACCCACAACGTCTCCTATGAACTACGTGGCTGTAGATTCGACTTGCAAAAGGAGTTAAGTTGTTAAAAAGCATTTGTAAGTTCAACAGTAGGAATTAACAAATCCAAAGAAAGAAAGAAATTGTCAATCCAACAAAGGCATTATAAGTCAAAGCAAAGGTTATTGGTAACTTCCAACAAAATTCATTTATAAGTCCAATAAAAAGGCATGTATATGTTCAACAAAGGGCATCTATAACTTCATAACTTACGACAACTATTTAGCTTACAAATCGAGGTCTTCTCCCTCAATCCGTCTAGGAAATTTAAAATTAGATGCCATATAACGTCGCCGTTAATTATGTACATGAACTTTATAAATATGAGAAAGTTGTTAGATATTTAAAAAGCTACAAATGTTTGGAGCCAAAAGCTTGAAACTAAATATATTTTGGATGCCCATAGAACTTAAAGCACGTAAGAGTGTAAAGTAGTTGTTTTTAGCTGTTTACCTTTTTAGTTAAGTACCAACTGCTGCCGGATGATAGTTAATGAAAATAACCCGTTTTCGATCTCATGTTTTTTCTTGGAACTCAACATATCTCCAATAAATATCAAAACTACTATATTTTCCCATAAACTTTTTCAGCTACTAAAGGCCTGAAGTGAAGTTGTTCATCTTAATAAAGGCAATATAGAGCCTGCCAGTTAATAACTTCTTAAGCTACTATAACACATTTACTGTTGAGGATATAACCATAGAAATATTTATATTCTGACTAAAAACATACACACACACACAAACATATTTCAGAAACTTTACTAAATATAATATTCAACAAAACTGATGTTTCATTTCAAAATAATGCAGTTTTCAAATATATTTTGTGATAGAACTATTCATTATTTCTTATCAGTGTAAAAATATTGATTTGTTAATTGGCTGGTTTATACTTGCAGTGAATCTGTGGTGTTTATAGAAGGCAGTTCCAGTAAAAAGTATGAGACGCACGTGATTGAAAGTGATGAACTGTTTAATCTGTCTTCACCTGAAGATCCAGTGAAAGGAAGACTAGAAGTAGCGTTTCTCCTTATTTAACGTGAAGTTTGTTAATTGTTTCTCGTACAAGGTTTTGATATTCCACTGACATATATTAATCAATAGTGAATATGCTTTGGAACCGTAGGCGCATTATAAGAGTAATGGTCAAATCCAACTAGTCGATTAGAGTAGCCCAATAATTGGCAATGGGTTCTGTTGATTAGTTGCCTTCTCTCTAGTTTGTCAGTTCAAAATTAGCATGGCTGTAACAGATAGGCCCTCGTGCAGTTTTTCAGGAATATCCAAAACAAAACAAACATACAAACAAACTTTGAAACGTACGCGATCGCGATCAGTATAGCCAGCTTTCTTTTCGTACCACAAGAGGTAACAGTATTGAAAGCATTTACGAGTTTATCCAGAAACCTAACAAGGTAATAAAAGTACATAATTGGCTATTCCTGGTGAGTATCTGATATTCAAAAAGCCACCTTTATTCTGTTCGACAGCAAACAGGAATGTTAGTGTTCGTCTATGCGAGCATGTTTATATGGTATCTACTAAAAGCAATAAAAAATAAGAATAAAACAGAAAAAGCTAAATAAGAAAGGCAATGAAGATAAAACCAACTGATTCGAGTTCCAAAGATATAAAACTCTTGATATCGCGCTGGTAAATAGTCTATCAAAGTATAAGTTTGAGAAAAGTATATTACTAGTAACATTTATTATATTTTTATTGTTAACAACCACTGAATATAGTTCTATTGTTGAAAATCACTGATTATAATTTGACTGTTAACAAGCACTGAATATAATCCTATTGTTGTAAATAACTGAACATAATTTTATTGTTAACAAGCACTGAATATAGTTCTATTATTAACAAGCATTGAATATAGTTCTATAGTTTACAAGAACTGATAAGAGATGGATCTATTTCTATTGTTGACGAACACTGAATATAGTTATATTTTTGACAAGCACTGTATATAGTTCTATCGTCGACAAGCGCTGAATATAGTTATATTGTTAACGAGGACTGAATATAGTTCTATTGTTGACAAGCGCTGAATGTAGTCCTATTGTTGACAAGAAACTGAATATAGTATATAGTTCTATTACTAATAAGCTTTGAATATATTTCTATAGTTAACAAGCTTTAAATATATTTCTATTGTTAACAAGTACTAAATATAATTTTATATGTTGATGAACACTGAATATAGATATAATGTTGACAAGTACTGAATATAGTTCTATTGTTGAACACAGCCGAATTTAGTTATATTATTGACAAGTTCTGAATTTAGCTATATTGTTAACAAGCACTAAATATAGTTGTATTGTCGATAAGCACTGAATTGACTGTTGACAAGCTCTTAATATAGTTTATTGTTGACAATAACTGAATATAGTTCTATTGCTGACAAGAACTAAATATAGTTATTTTGTTGAAGAACATTAAATATAATTATATTTTTGATAAGCACTGACTATAGTCCTATTGTTGACAAGCATTGAATATAGTTCTGTTGTTAATAAGTACTAATTATAATTCTATATGTTAATGAACACTGAATATAGTTATATTGTTGACAAGAACTGATTGCAGTATTATTGTTGACAATAACTGAATATAGTTCTACTGTTGATAAGAACTGATTGTAGAATTATTGTTGACAATAACTGAATATAGTTCTATTGTTGACAAGCACTGAATATAGTACTGCTGTTGACTTTTTAAAAACAGTGAATAGTACTTAGAAAGGGTAGATGTGTATTTTGACTCAGTTCATTAAATATTTTACTGTTTATAGAGTGACATGCTTCATTCTGTAAAACAACGTCCGCACAGCCAGCCTATACAGCTGTCTCCAGTCCATTTTAGCCGGCTGCAGATCTATCCTCACAACACTGCAACATCTTCAACATGCGGAAGTACCAGTCACGTTGTCCTTTCCTATGCACATGACATCAACATCCATGGTAAAAAATATCTACCACATTTTGGAGAATGCACCTCTTATGAAGGTAAGAACAGACTAATTAGGAAACTAACATATACGAGCTTATTCATGTTTATCACCACGTATTGACAGTTGGACTGTTAAAGTATGGTATGTATGCAACATTGGACGACACCCGTTTGTTACCACGTGTTGCTAGTTGGAATAAGTATGTATGTATGCTACACTAGAAAACACTTGTATGTTACCATGTGTTGATAGTTAATTGAGGTTATATGCTAACCAGACAGTGTCTGCTTGTTACCTATGGGTTTTTTGAGTCCTTTTAAATTATCATACAGTAACCTAAATTAATTTAGGAGTGTGAATAATATTATGACATTGCGCCTAATTCTGTATTCTATATTATACAGCGGACCAACTGTTTAATGATTATATATATATATATATATACACTTATCAAATATTTGTTGATACTTGAACTATTACGTTACACCAGACAACACATACACAGATAACACCTGTTTGTTATCACGTGTTGATTTGTTGAACTAACTATTACGCTACTCTAGAAATCTACTGTCTCTAAAACATACTGGCAGTTGACCATTTGTGTAGATGTATATATATATGCTACAATTTATGGATTACGTGCTGAGATTGTCACAATATTTCATAGTTTAATGTGAACGTTGTCGTATTATACATGCTGCAATGTGTGATGGTTAGAGAATACATGTGTTGATGCATTACAGTATATAGTAACACTTGAAAGTATACATTTGAAGTTTGACACATTGTGGTATCGTAGTAAGTGCACATATTATACCAATTATAATTATAATTACTAGCAGAAATACTTGCCCTCACGGTAGATATAACTGCTAGTTTTTGCGGAAGGCTATTGGTCCTGCGACCTTTTCTGGAATTGTCTGACAGTTCTACAACAATGTACTCATACTTTACATTCAACAATGTTCTGAAACATATCATTTTTGTGGAAACTTCAATTGTTTTGTTTATTTCTCAGCTATAAAAATGCTGCCTAGGTATAAAAATATTACCCAGTTATGATTGGTGATGATCGGTGCGGTAGTTTCCGAGATCCAAGTTTTGGACGTATACATCGCAAGCTTCATTATAAGATTCTCTATTCATAAAATGCTTATTTCATTGTAAATAAAGATAAATATTTGATTGTTCGTGTTGTATATATCATGTTCCAGTAAAGAAAAGCACTGTCATAGTAGCAATTAAACTTCAAACAGAATCGTGTTTTATGTATTGAGCTCAAAGTAGTGGGAGTATTAATTTCACCTAATCACGTTTAGTTATAAGATAAAGGCTTGTTTAGCCTTATATAGTCTATTTTAACCTCACTCGTATATAAATGCATTAGTGAAACCTTACAACGAATTCGAAAACATTTGACTTGAGTGATAACTTTAGTTCCTAATTTGAATAATGCATTTGGACCAATAGTGTTCTTGAAATGTTAAAATTCATGATATTTTACAGTTCTGAACAACCCTAAGTACTTTAACAAGTTATCTGTAGTGAATCAAGGAACAGCTACTAAAACTAGAAGCCTTCCTTTATGGGGACGTTCCCACCCAAGGCCACTGTCCAGCGAGGATGACCACAGTGAACTGTTTGCTGAAGTACGTCTTACTTAACAACTTGAGAGTGTGAGCTCTTATAAAACAGTAAAGAGGTCGATTAAAAAACTAGATATAACAACGTTTTATCTGTGATTATTTAGTAGAATATTATATAATTATATATGTATAGTTATAAGTTTTAAAAATGGAGGTGAGATTTTAATGTAATTGTTTAGAAGTGTTTGTTGCAGAGTGACCAGTAGCTAAGTTCTGTGGTATACGTTTCCTTGCTTATCCGTCAGGTTATTTATTAGCTTAAGTTACGATTACTTGGCAGAACCTATAGGCAGATGATTGCTGCTTAATATGATAATGTATGTGTTATTCTGTAGAGAAGTGTTTATGAGTGTTTGTTACATAAATATCTTAAATAGGAATGTAGTATATTGGTACATATTTTTTATGAAAATGTGTATTGCACAATAATATGGATTAAGACTATGATTTTCTGGCATATATATTTACACAAGAATGTTTGTTACACAATAATCTGGACTATAACTGTGGTCTTCTGGTATATATAAATATATTTACATGCGAATGTTCATTACACAATAATCTGGACTATAACTGTAGTGTTCTGGTATACATATTTACACGAGAACGTTTGTTACACAATAATCTGGACTAGAACTGTGGTCTTCTGGTATATATATATATTTACATGCGAATGTTCATTACACAATAATCTGGACTAGAACTGTGATATCTGGTATATATATATATACATGGGAATGTTTATTGCACAATAATCTGGACTAGGACTGTGATCTTCTGGTATATATATATATATATTACTTTTAGTATATAGTTACATGGAAAAGTTTATTGCACAACGACATAGAGTAGGTTTATACAGGTTAGGCATATTATTGCACAATAGTTTGAAGTATAAATATAGTATTATTATAAAGATTTACTGGACAATAATGTTTACCCCATAGTAATCTGTGGTCTATGAACAGCAGGACCATTGTTAGTTCACATTTTAACATGAGTATTCATTGAAAAGATTTTTTCAAATACACAGAATTATGGTATTTTGATATTAAAATCCTTTCCAATGCAGGCGATGAAAATAATGTAACGGTGTTCGTATCAATTCTGTTGCAACTACTTGGAAGCCAGAACAGAATCATTTATTTCTTCATAATACAAAATATTTATCCTTAACAGTAAATAGAATAAAATGATTTGAAAGTACCATGATGTTTATGATTCAGTTGTCACTATTCTATTGCAGCGTTTAATAAAAAAAACACTCCGTTGTGTAATTTAAAGATTTAAAATAGAAAAGAGCTCCATGACTCTTTTTAAACTGCAAGCCAAATGCGAAAAAAAAAACAATTATCCTGTCACAATATTTTGATAAATGATTAACATTTGATTGACAATTTACTTTGCTTTAAAGCTTTGTCTATTAAAACGGATTATATTTTATTTTTGCTAATTCCATGAATGATGTGAATATTTTTAAATCTTTATGGTTATATAAAATTCATTCTAAAATTAATTTTAATAGTTGAAACCTCAAATATTGGGTTATGATGTCTTAATTCATAATGTATACTGTATAAAAAAAAATTATCGTAGTTTTGAATCGTAAGTATGATCAAAACTTTCAAGGTTAAGACAGCTTATAAAACCTTAAGTTTCCAAAATATAAGCCAGGTGTGTGATGAAAAATTACACTGAGTTGACATTCTGTCATAAACAACACTTTACCTGAATGAGCCTGCAAACACACATAAAATACTGTAGAAATATTAAATACACTTAAATACACCATTATTTGTGTTTGTTGTACTTATTTCTATGGCTTATATCTTTGTTACTTCAGGTGATCTTTAGCAAGAAGAGAAAAAATCGGATGAGAAACGACAGTGCTGCCGCCATTGCCCTGAACAGAAGTATGACTTCTTTTCCACAGCTGAAACAGAAAGACACGTCACCTTTAGTGGACAATGAAACTTTTGTTGTGTACAACGAGCGGACGGAGCTGTGAACTGTTGAGCAAGAATTTCTCATTAGACATTTTAATTCTTCATATTTAGTTTTGGTTTCTTTTTTATGATCAAGTGCTGACCAAAAGTTCTCCATCTCCTTGGATATTTAAGTTGTTGCACTGTGTCTTAAACAAAAATATTAATTTAATTTCAACGATTATCCCTATGAAATACCGAGTTATAATAGTGAGTGTTATTTGATCATATAGTGAGAGTTACAGAGAGTACATATCATTTATCGGTTTAAGTATAATGCTGGATATTCTTAAATTTATAAATCATATAAATTAAAACGTATATTTATTGATATTTATACATATCCAAATTATGTTACAATTGCAAGAAAAACAAATTCAAACAACATGCTTTGGAAATTGTACAGAGTCATTGTAGTGATTGAAACTTTTGTGAACACCTTCATCGTATTGAAGCTGTCAAAGAAAACCGCTCAAATTATTTAGCGTGAGAGGGATTAAAGATTCCACCGTTATTCAAAGTTTATTTTGTGATAACGTATACAAAATCGGGTATACTTTAAAATTAAATAAAAAGACACGGGGAGCGTCGAAGGTAATGTTCCTTAATATGAATATTGCGGGTATTGAGAATAATGGTTGAATATCAGTGTTTTGATACGTTTACATTTTGAGACCATTAGTTGTTTAATACCCTGAATTACTTATAAAACTAAACATAAATTTGAAATGGGTGTCAATAATTTAACTCCTGTTAACTTTTAAATATTTTTAATTCTCCGGTTCAAAAAATATTCGGAAGTCTAATTTTTTAAAATATTATTTACGTTTTATGTGTTCTTTATTACTTACTTTTTACCACCGCCTTTTCGTCTAAGCTTAAATTGTAACTTGCAACATTAGATGTCTTACAGAGGCTAAATACGTTATATTAGAACTATTTTCTGCTCTCGTTACAGTCCATGTTGCAACGTCCAGTTATGCTCTATCTGACAACCGTGCAGCTTAACAATAGCCTTGCAGCGTAGTTTCCATTGTAAAAGGCTCTTTCGTAAGGATGTCATGTCTAAAGTACACCTTTCCCCCTGCATGATATCCATAAACCATCTAGTGTACGAGGAGACGGTTGCCAGCGTTTGTTTCAACAGTCCGATCGCACAGAAATCCACAGGCGCTGAGTCCAATGACTTGATCCATATTTTTTTGTATGGAATAATATGAATTCCTTGTTTCATTCCCCAACCACTTGAGGTATGTGATGGTTGAACAAATATGTCGTGGAAGCAGTTTGTTTATACGTGATTTGTGTCGCTTTTCTAAACGGAAATACTTTTTGATTATGCTGCGAACTGTTGCTTGAGACATGTAGACAGTTTTTGCCACAGAGGTTTGTATTTCTAAATTATCACCTGCTACACGCTACACTTTGCATTCCATGCTTGGAGTACGACTTGTTGCAGGTCTCTTACTGGACAGCCCTCGTTACCCAAATTAATCCATATCCCTTTGTTTTCCAAAGTCATCAAGAATAAGGAATATCCATGTCTTGAAAATTCTAAATTCCCATCTGAACACATCATTAGGATCCCAGTGTATGAATATTTTGCGTCAGAAAAGGAATGTTACATACCCTTCCCAAAAGCGACCAGTTTTCGGCGGCATCGTTCAACCTAGGTTATTCCAGACAATACCAAAATGTAGTTCGGATATATGCCGTTCCATCACGTCTTTACATCGGCTGTGGTTGTTATGTCACTTACTGATTTGCATGTTCAAAATATTTTTAATATAATGTACTCAGCCCAATGTATGATAGATCTTTTTTGTTATGTTAACCTTTATGTAAAATGACAATCTTTAGCGTTCGTGGCTCTCACTTATCAGCTTCACAAAGTTTTATTTAAACTTAAACAATTATAATAATAATTTTTGCCATCAAATTTATTAAATTTTCTTTCCCAACAAAAACACCAAATGGCACCACATTATAATTGATAGGTTTTATTTCTATCAGAAAAATAGTTAAAGTAGATTGTAAGATAAGTTGATCTGCCAGGATTATTATCCATATTCACCCTTTTCGTCCTGATAACGTACAACGTTAGGTCTGCTTACCAACTCCATTGTTTTGTTTCTTACAACGATAAACTTGATGAACTATAACGCTAAAACGTAGGGTTCGATTCCGCGGATGGCGAAGCGCAAATAGCCTATTGTGCAACTTTACTTTTAAGCAAAATAGTCATAAAGCATACTTATTGAGTAAAGGTTTTTGTTATTACAACTTGAGATAGTATTTCAACGTTTGAAAGTAATATGCTGTATCAGTAGATCCCGCATTTAAACTCTCGAGTTTCATAAAATTTGATTTTATTACTAATACAGTTAGTTGGATGGAATCTTCTGATTTTTTTCGTGTTTTCTTGAATAAACATGTACGACCAATCAACATAGAGAATCTTATTTTATGACAATATAATTTGGAGACATCAATTCCGTATACAGGTTATCAAAACTGGGTAGGGTCTTAATTCGGAATTTAGGTCAACTTTCTATGATTATTTTAGATAAGCGAGCGCAGGAAGCACGAAGCCCTTACAGGGGTTCTGGGGGTCTCCCCCAGAAAAGTTTGAAAAATTCATGTCAAATCATTAAAATGGAAAAAAATATCAGTTAAGTGTTATTTAATTTTCTCTTATTACATGAAAACCAGGGTTTGCAATAATACCGGCGGTACCAGACTGCTGGTACCGGTACTCGAGCATCTCTAATCACGTGACTTGAGCAGTTAGAAATATAAATATCTGTCCGATGTGTTCTCGTGGGAATTTTTTTTTTTTACAACAAACCAAATGGCTAATTATCTGTAAGTCTACGTGTTATGACGACTATGGCAATAAATCAGTTGAAATCTAAGCTTTCTATTGGTTATCAATTTAATGGGAGTGGGCCTCAGAAAAATCTATTAGCAAATTGCAAATTAGAGCATGTCAGGGGTAGGCATGGAAATAGTTTCTGAATTTTCATTGATTGTTCTTTATCCCCATAAGAGTGAAGAATATATAAATTTAGCTTCAGAATATAGATGACGAAATTATAGAGAATATTTTACGTTATATTTCGTAGCTTTATGTCAAGTTTATTAGTATACCATGATAATTAAGTGGTTTAATTAAATTTTGAATGTAACTCACTAAAACGTCGTGATATGCGCAGTTTGACCTGCCCGCATGCTAAGGATTAATCACGCACGCACCTACCTAACGAGCAATCAGTCACGAAGGCACATTCACGTTCTCTTCCATCTTCCCATATTTCATGCTATCGCCGATTTTCACGGTGAGATTCGCTTATCGACTGAAGTATGAACTCAAAATTACCACATCAAACATTTATAATTCTGTAAAAAGCGAAGCTGAAATACCAGAGGAGACGTTGGTCAAAACTCCAAAGATGGAACATGTAATAATCTATATCATTTTCAACATATGATATACTATAAACCAGTACCGGTACCGGTACTGGTACCGACTGCAAACCCTAGTGAATACTCAGTACGTAAGAACAGTATACATGTATAATCACAGAATAAACGATAAAATCAATTGAAACATCATGAGTTTGAGGTTAATAGTCACTTCAGCACGTTCTCCATCCTTCTCAAATATTTTCACAACAGTTTCAGTATATATATGCACGAGAGCGGCGTAATGCACTAAAACTGGGCTCCCATCGACAGGAGGTAACAGGTGTAACACATGCAACTTTTAGCAAACTGGGTACAACAATTCATTACAGTGATTTATAGCTTCGGGGCAGTTTTTTGGTAAATCCGAATCTTTCCATTTGCTGGAGTTCATTTTCCAACCATTGAATTCCTCAGACAAAACATCGGGTGAAAACAAATCATCTTCCTTTATGTCCCTGCGTGTATAGTCTTTTAAAGCACTTGACACAAATGCCAACAGTTTTGACACTATTGGGATTGAGTCTTGAAACTGAGTATTTAATTTCTATATAACGTGGTCAAGGGATGGTACGACATTATTCCTGAGATAATGGTGCATCAGAGTTTCGGCTGTCACATTATTTCGGTGCATCTGTCGTTTAGTAACTCTCTGTTCTAACAGATTGTGCAACCCTAACTGTGTGGCCAAATGTATCTGTGAAATATCAGCACTAATATATCAGCATGTATTTGTGCGTACTTTTTCTTGTTGTGTTTTACTAATAACATTGCTTCAGTTGTGTCAATGGTCTCTTTCTGTAGTAAAACTGTCATTCCTTCCATTCGAGAGAGAATTTTGTGGGCTACAACAAATGTCACAAGGAATGTTAAGTCACAAAATGAATGGAGAAGTGGTAGAACAAGAGACTTGCTACCATGTGCTATCCCAGTCATCGGTTTCATCCAGAAGTGGGTCAAATCCTTCATCCACGTGCAATACATGCACAATGATCTCCAGGTATTTTATGTAATATTGACTGATAAAAATGCTTATACGACTCGTGGCATTCAGCCCTTCTAGTTTCCTTTTGAACATATGTTTCGACGACATTTTCCAGCAATGCCTCACGTTTTGGGCATTTGTTAAAAAAAACAAAGACATATCTTTCAATTTGTGAATCATATTGCAGACATGAGTAAGCCCACAAGATTGTGGGATCACAAGATTTAAAGAATGGCTATTGTAGTGGGTACATACTGCCAAAGAGACTTCCTTGCCTATACGTACGTGATTAAATCATTGCTTGACATGGTTGCTGAATCTTCGTATTCCTGGCCTCTTATATATGATTCCTAAATTACTCAGTAATTTTAAAATGGTATGTACGATCACTTCTGTAGCTCGAATCAATGGAACAAAACTGATGAATTCTTCCCACAAACAGCTATCACTATTAACAAACCTCAGGCTGATCGACATTTTGTTCATTATTGTAAGTCGCCACTTTATCATTCAAATCAAAGTAGAATTTTGTGTGCCGAATCCTGCTAACAATTGGTAATTGAATGATTTCTTTCCCAATTATTGAAATGAGTTCATTCTGGATGAATGGTGACTAGTATGTAGTATTATTATGGGCAAGTTTATTCACGTGTGACATCAGTTGTTCATTATGCCGACTCATTAACTTGAGTATTGCTAAGAATTTCTCCAGGTTTTCTGCTTCGTTCACATTTTCTGAATCACTTCTAAGCTCTATACGTTACTTTCTACAGAATACGATTGCCTCAATAATACAAGCCAGTACCTCCTTATTTTTCATGGTGGGTTACTGTTTATTCTTATCCATGAATTCCGGTACAGATACTTGTTTTTAATCAGTCACATTTATAAGTATTTCTAAATCAACAACAGCCTCAGATTTGCCGATTTATGGGTTTCAAATGCATCCAAACACCAGGTCCACTTGATAAACGGCTGATTCACAAAAGGCCCGCGCGTCCTGTTTGTTATTCTTAGCTAACAGAGAACGCTGGATGTAGAAAACACCGTCAGGTTCACAACTGTAATCAATCCACGAGTATTGGCTCTTCCATTTATCTTAATTAAACTGACCGTTGCAACCATTCATATACACTGCCGGAAACCTGTATGATGTGTTTGGTTTTACGTGATTTTTCAGCAAATGATCTTTTTGTGCATCAGTCATTGAAGATACAACTTTTTGAATTTCAAACTCGGACGTCGTTGCATTGACGAACTTACCAATATCATCATACAGTTTTTGATTATCTGCAAGATCGCCAAATTCAACCGAACACCACTGTATTTAACTTCTGTCTTAATCATGCTAATACTCCAATTTTCACAAATTTCTCACTAATCTTAGGGTAATTGGTAAAATAAATATCAGGAAAACAAGTTAAATTCATGTACCACTCAAACAGACTTATTGACTGACCAAGTGCTGAATTGCGAAACATGCTGGCTGCGACCGCATCGATACTGTCATCACCATGCGTTAACAGTTTTACACACAATCCCTTATTGTGATACAGTCCTAGCTTAGCATGTCAACCAGTCGCTAACGACAGCATAGAATCTAGGCCTATATAGTCTAGATCTAAAAACCTAACGTTAATATAGAATAGGCGTAACGTTAGAGGGTCTACAGGTAAATACGCACATAGTCGCCAAACAGTTAAATCTTTAGATCTATGAGTTTATCACAACATTATGACTAACGTACGTTAACAGTTAGATCTAGTCTACTTATCTAGACCTAAGTAAACTATATATTGAATATGTTTAAGATTCAAAATCGTAAAGATCTTGTCTTTAGCGATGCGTAGGCCTAACATTAGGGTGTACAGTAGACCTATTTATAAACTTGAATGGTGGACAAAAAAGCTAGAAAGTAACAACATTCAATTTACGGGATCCTTGGGACGCGCCCGCCGCCCTATCACCATGATCACTAGATCTGCTGCGAGTTGCGAGTCCTATTTTTTAACACGTTAATATGTACATGCACTTGTTTTGACTGTGCGCGGAGCGGGGCGAAGTGACCAACTGAGTGAGAGGCAACGAAAAGGAAAACCTCGGAAGACAAGTGGAGGTACTCGGAAACAGCTGTTCCCCTTCGTCTCACTCGTGGTTAAGGTAGGGGGCAGGATCTTGGTTATGAATTTACTGCTTAAGTGACTGAATTGAATATTTGTTTTACAGGGCTGGGAGCTCAAGACTCAAACAAACGGCCGATCTCAGACTTATGGTCCTTCAGGGTGGCGGGGATCTATAAATCGTATGCCATAACAATTACATGTGTGTGTGGTGGGGGGGGGGGATGGGAGTATCCCGAGAAAACCTCTTTCACTGGTAAGGCGCCAATCCTTTATCAGTGCCCGATTAACATGAATATATTAAAAAGACACTTGGTATGATGGTGGGGAGGCAAGAGTGATAGGCGAGATTGTAGGTTAATTAATATGGCATGGAGTTTCTCAGGTGGCGGACTGCTCTTAGGAAGGAATTATGGTTGTGGAGAGGTCTTTTCGGGGTAGAATCTTCGTCGTCACTAGTGGAGGGGCTGTGAGGGTGGCTCGTTTATACTGAGTTCATTGCATGGTATTTCACATAGTGCTGATAAAATATTGAGATATTACAAAATGTAGAAGTGATAGACAAATTCTTACTAAATTTCTGAAATCATCACCATCAAATTACCCCAAATCACTTGAGTTTTCTTCAGCAGCAAACTTTTTGTTGTCCAGTGTAATTACTGTCAGTATCTGGATTTCCTATGTAATTTAACATCATGTCTGTGTTGATAAATTTACTAAACCTTCAAAGCATTTGTGTTTTTTTCCAATGTGAGAAAAAATATAAACATAATTATAAAAAAAAACAGCATTATAATGAGGTTGGAAGTTTGCTGAAAGGTATAATTGTTCTATATGTTAGTATTTCTGCTTATATATACATACATATATAT